ATAGATAGATAGATGAATAGATAGATAGATAGATAGATAGATAGATAGATAATTTTCCTACCTAATGTTTGCGTCCTACTGCAAAAGAAAAAAAAATAATGCTTCACCCATTATAAAAAGTCAATGGAGTAAAGGAGCAATAAGCACCAAGACACCAAAACTGTCCATGTTCCTTCCTCCGTCTGTTTCCTTCCCAGAACATAAACAAACTTCTCTCAATAAATATATTCTTACCTTTGTCTAACAAAATGATTTTCTAGCGCCAATGTTTCAAGCGTACACGATCTGTCTGCCTTAAAAATCAGCATACGAATCCCTAGATTTTTTTTTATCTGTTTTTCATTCAAAACAATCCTAAAAGCCACCCAAGGTCACTGAATTGGATCGTTTTTTGGACGTAAGAGGAATATGTACGATAAATAATGGTTGATCCTTAACTTAAATAGGTTAAGATTGTAGTAATTGAGGAAGCATCCTCTCGGGAGTCTGTTCCAGAAAGCAGAAGCTACTGGGAAGAATCTGTCCGAATGGATCTTCCTCCTTACCATTGAAACAGGAAGGGAATGTGGATGGTTCGCTTGTGTGGTCTTAATTATAAACATCTGGAACATAGAAACTAAGGAATGCAACTCGTTTAGAACATTTTCCATAAAAATGACGACATTTTGTCTGTTGAAAAAAAGACTGTAAGATGGAAAATAATTCATCGCCTACAATGCTTTTGATGATTGTGTAGCTCCAGCCGCGATATTACAGCAATACTCCATCTTTAACTGTACATTAAAGTCTTCACTAAACACAAATCCTCGCCATTGTTATCAGTACGAAATAAACTACAATTTCTATCACCAAGCAAGTAATCCTCACTTACTTTTATAGTGTGGGCGTCATCGTGATAGGATTAATTATTTGGGGGTCAAAGGTCGCAGATTTCAGTCTTTGGTGCCGATAACCTGACCACAAAGCATAAGATTGTTTCAAATTGCTCGCTGTTTATAGCTGTGTGTCACAAATGAAAGCCGCTGACTCTTCAATGACAGGCACCTGTGGGGAAATGACGTTAGGGGGTCCATTGAATCGGAAACGTTCTTTTTCTTTCTTTTTTTTTTTTTTTTAAATACAAAGAGACAACCCAAGGTGTGAACTACGTATTGGGAACGTCAAAATGAAGCAGGTAGAGAAACTTAACTGAGCAGTATACAAGCACACGACGGAATGTGGGACACAGAAATCTGAAAGGCGTATAAGCATCTTTTTTTTTTCTAATGTTCACTGAATTCAAGGCACAAAAGCCACTCAAAGCAGAGGGTTACATATGTTGCTGCATGAGCGTAAGAAAACACAAGAAGTGAATTGCGTACTAAACGATAAACTTTATCCAACAACAAAGCCTTTGATAAGAAGAATTTGAGGAGCGTGGAACTATCTCTGAATTGCTTGTGTTTCTAGGTTCATCCTGACCCGAGGTAGTATCCCCTGTCAGGGTCCCAGCTATGAGCAAAAATTTAACCCCCCATCACCGAAAAAAGGGTCAAAACAATATGAAAGTATAAAAATAGGTTTTAATACTAGCAATACATTTTTTGAATAATTTTTACTAGCAATGTATTTTTGCCAGCGATAAAAAAAAATATAACCAGAAATACAAATCTTGACGGCATTAAAAAACCCATTTAGGTGTTGATATGCCGTAAAACAAACCAAACCAAGAAGTGAAGTTCATGGAGCCACACAGGTAAAGATAACGGAAGATTGTTGTGACTGGGAAAACACAAGAGAATGAATAGATTTTAAAAGGAACCGGAAACCGAATTCTAAACATTTTTTTTTTTTTTGGTTTTTAATCGATATCTCCCCAAGCAAGGCAGTGCAGCCAGTAAAATACAAGGAGGGGGGTTACAGGGTGTGGAAGAATTAAGAACGGAAAAATAACGAACCAAAAGAGAAAATACTAAATATGAGGACAGTAGATATAGATTTTATATATATATATATATATATATATATATATATATATATATATAAAGAAAGATCAGTAAGATATATAATCTGGTGTTCTCATAGATATTTTATTTTACAAAATAGTGCTCAATGTAAATTTCCAGAGCATTAATATTATAAATTAATTGATTTAAAACATGGTTTTTCCTACACAGTTCTAACCATGTTTCAAAAATGGTTCCTAAAAGCTTGAATTTAATTTTGTAATTAAATTAAAGACATTAGTTTCATTTCATCCTCAAGCGAATTTTGGAGTAACTTATTACTGGGTTTTAAAAGCACAGCAAAAATCTTAATTCACGTTTCCAAGGATACAGAGAATATATATATATATATATATATATATATATATGAAATTTTCTCCGATTTAACTAGTAGAGAATACAATATTTATGAATAAAAATGACAATAGGAAAACCAGTAATTGCTGGCGCGTTTCGTCCAATATGGACTTTATCAAAGCAAAATACGAAATGAATTTAATTGAACAAGGTAACTAATAAAAACAAAAACTGAATGTACCTAGCTACTGGAATGTAGAGAAACATTCTAGGTATATTCTGTTTTTGTTTTTATTTTACTATTCATTAATTTCATTTTCGTATTTTAACTTTTGATAAAATCCAATTGAACGAAAACGTCAACATACCATTATTCATTACAATCATATATATATATATATATATATATATATATATATATATATATATAAATAAAAATGTATTGCTGGTATTTTACTATGAAAATGACTTTTTATACTATCAAATTTTTTTTTGGGGGGGCACGATTTGCCTATAACTGGGACATTTACAGGTGTTACCACCCTAAGTAAGGTTGAACCTGGGAACAAATATGGGTTATCTCCCTTCGATAGATTATTCCTGCTGATAATAGGTCGAAATCATTTCAGCTGATAATAATTGGTATGTGCCAAAATTAGGCACAGAACAGATTTCAGACGCCCCCAGAGAGAGACCACGAGGCGACAATGAACGGTGGGCAGGCGTGTTTTCAGTCCACTTCAAGAACAGGGCGATTCTTGCTACGGGAAAACCTGAATAATACAAGGACAAGCAGCTAGTGGAAGCAGAATATAAACAGCTTCAGATAAGTGTTTCATGGATGTCAAACAGACACATGTTTGGGACATCGTCCCCGATGTCTTGACCTTTAACTGCTAAAAGAATACGTTTTAGAAATTCTACCACCTTCGTCATTCTTGATATTCGAAAATTCAGCGATTGGCCAAAAAATTTATTATACGCCCAAAAATCAAGCAAATAAAAATGAAAAACATAAAAACTGTAGAAAGAATATTTTTTTTCATCTACTTACCTAAGTAAATATTTAGTATCAATATATATATATATATATATATATATATATATATATATATATATATATATATATATATAATTCAATGTCCCATAAATTTTCGACGGATTTAGGTTAAAAATTACTATTTTCACATCGTCTGTCATAAATATTTGTGACGCCAATATTACACGGCTCATGCAAGATTTGTCGCAAATTAATTGAATTTTCTTTTAGAATTATTTTTAATTAAAAAAAAACATCTAAAATTCTCAGCATCCCAAGTTCGTAACAACATAAAAGTTGTTGAATGACGAAACGTCACAAGTAAACGTTTTCCCATTTGTCATCTTCTCCAATATTGTTCTTGATATATAAAAATATGAGGTATTATGTACACTAATTACATTATTCGGACTATTGTCCTCATCTTTGTCGCCATATTTATTAAAACGTTTCGGCCGCTGTACGCTCTATCCTTCTTCAGGTGGTTGGAATGTCGAACTGACCCTTGTAAAGAAATATAGACAGATATATATATAGACAAAAAAAAAATAATCATAAACAACGAAACTGAACAACCAGGGTTGCGTTTTGAAATATTCTGACGAAGCTTTTAGGGTAAATTGTCGCCATTATATATTTTCAATTTCGCGCATGCGTATAGTTTTTTTTTATGTTTTTATTTTGTCGACAGTATAGAAGGGTTTGTTGGGCACCGTTTGTGAGAAAACGACCACCATGACTCAATTCCCTCGGCTACAAATTTTGAAATGGCATGCTGTACTGTTTGCGTTCGCGCTGAAAGCTCCAATACGAATATTTCAGAATGTTTGTGTCTCAATCTCATTATTTATATGTGTGTGTGTGTGCGTATGTGTGTGTGTGTGTGTGCGTGCGTGTTTGTGTGTGTATGTGTGTGTGTGTGTGTGTGTATGAAGGATAGATAACTGAATCAATGTTTAAAATTGTTGAAAGCAACAAGAAATGAAACTATATGACGTGCGTACAGACACACGCACGGACACACATACAGACTCATATATAACAACACACACGCACACACACTCACCTACAACCACGCGCACCCGAACACGCATACACACTCTATATGGCCGGCGTCGAAAGAAGCAAACAAATATTAAAACCTAAAAACTTCACCTTGTCTTTTCAAACTAAAATACTAAAAAGCAAGATTCTCCAAAAACATCTTTTTGCTTTGTTTTTTTCTTTGTTTTTGATCTTTTATTTTTTGTTTTATTTTTATTTATTTTTTTTTCACGAATTTTTTAACTCTTCAGAAATACAACCGATGCGTCTGAACCTTCTAGAAACTTCTAGAAACAAAGAACCAATCCAGAGTCAGTCTATAAAAAGTTACTAATAAATTGTCGTAGGCGTAAAAAAAACGAAGCTGTGGATAAGGAGAGAGAATAAGAAATCTTTACGGCTCGTGTTGCGACTGGATAACAATGTTGTGCCGTAATTCCTGTCATCCCGTCAGGTGAAAAGATACTTGAATGCTGAATGGGCATTTGGCACTTGAACAAAGCAGTAGCGTGTCACCCAGGCCCTCACCCGAGGCCAAAAAGGCGGACACACCTCGACCATACCATACTCCTCGAAGCGGATACTAAACAGCAGTCAAGCATTTATCAGTAATGTAAGAGTTATAGATATAAATATTAAGTGATAGATAGATAGATAGATAGATAGATAGATAGATAGATAGATAGATAGTCAGACTGGAATACATAGATAGATAGATAGATAGATAGATAGATAGATAGATAGATAATCAGACTGGAACAGATAGATAGATAGATAGATAGATAGATAGATAGATAGATAGTGTTGAAACTTGACTAATGCATGGAATAATAATACAACACAAAATGTACTTAGAACAAAATGTATTGAAACAAGAAAGTGTACACAATATTTACATATAGTCTTTTGTATATTCCTGGTAAGACCGTTCCTGGAGAATGTGTTGACTGAGTCGCAGTCGGGCAGAGTCTCTGGATTGAATCTCTTGATTCCTCCTCTCGTCTTCCCGGTACCGACCATATTTATATGGTCGGTACTCTACTATGCAAATTAGGTGGATCCTACCACAATAGATAGATAGATAGATAGATAGATAGATAGATAGATAGATAGATAGATAGATACCTTTCCAGATTATATTAGTGTATAAATGAGTGTAAAGAACCGGACTAGAATTCGAACACGGATTTTGGATTTCTTATTCTGATCCGATACCCATTACACCACCTGCACATCCTAGATATGAACAGAATGAGATAGACAGATGGATAGATGCACTAAAGTATAAGGCTACATTAAAAACGTAGTTATATCCATAATACAATAGCGGAATTGTAAAAATCATATACGCAAAAAATAATTACTTTTCCACAAAATATCCTTTCTTGTCACTGCACTTAATCCAACCTAAAATGTAAATGTAAAATTGTATTTTTGACAGAATTCTCTGGCTAATATCTATCATATGCAGTCAGGACGTTATGCAGAAAAGAATTGTTCAATTCAAACGGTTTTTGATGCATATAAAGTGCGAAAATGTTTTCAGCTATCTCACTTCTTCTTTCTTTTATGTGCCGTGTCCCTTCAGAACGTAGACGATCATGGCCCTCCACATCTTTCTATCTTTTTGTTATTTCACCCAAAGCCTATCCTACCATCCATTTACTCAAGTACATCAAGCTTTCCTCTGTCCACCTTTCCCTCAATCTGTCCTGTGAGTATTAGATTTTCCAAACCGCCTTATTACGTGCCCCTGAGATTTCAACTGTCTCTTTCTGATGTTAAATATAAGTTTTCATTTTGTTTTTTCTCTGAAGTGTCGTCATTGCTCACATGTTCGATCCATGATATCTTCAGTATCCTTATGTAAAACACGTCCTGGGTATGACGATAAACTACGTCTAGCAGCAAGGTCTCTGATCAGGAGGTTTTGAGGAGCGTGAAATCACCTCTTAATTGCTGGTATTCCCAGGTCCTTCCTGATCAGGGTGGTAGCACCTGTTAGGGTCCCAGCTATGGGCAAATAGTTAACCACCCAAACTGGGATTAAAACACTATGAAAATGTAAATAGGTTTTAATACCGGAAATACTTCGTAAAAAAAATTATTACCAGCTATACATTTCTGAAAAAAAAAAAATATATATATATATTACCCGCTATAACTTTTTGAAAAAATATTATCAGCTATACATTTTTTGAAGAAAATATTACCAGAAAAAATTTTGTCGGCATTAAATAACCCACTGAGGTGTTGATATGCCTTCTGTAGAACGACATTTTTGTTGCTTCAAGTCTCTTCTTTATCTTTGAGGACATTGTCCAGCATCCGCTGCCATCGAGGAAGACAGATATCATGTAACAGTTCAATACTCTTTTCTTTGTTTTAAACAACATTTTTCTCTGCTTGGCTTTTGGAAGGCATCTTTAGTCATCCCAATACATCTTCGGATCTCAGTAGAGCACTCTCCGTCCTCTGTTATATATATATATATATATATATATATATATATATATTATAATATCTCTCTCTATATATATATATTACTCTTTTGAGCACACAGACACACAGACACACATATATATTGCTTGTGTTGGAGTGATATATATATATGTGTGTGTGTGTGTGTGTGTGTGTGTGTGTGTGTGTGTGTGTGTGTGTGTGTGCTCAATACAATGTAGAGTAATATATAGAGATTATATATATATATATATATATATATATATATATATATATTTATACAAATATTTAATGGCTCTGGCCAAAACCTTCACCACGATAATCAACTTTCACGTGCTAGTGGGCTGTCAGTTCCTAGGAACTGATCTGCCTGAGCCTCATACGTCGATATATATATATATATATATATATATATATATATATATATATATACCGTGCACCATTGCGCCGGACGGCTTGGTGGTTGAATCTCGGCTGACACCAATTCGGATGTCTAGCCACACTGAAGAGCTGTGAAAACAGCGAAACAGTCTGTCTGTGGATGACTTATATATATATATATATATATATATATATATTATTCTAGGATCATTTTCCAACTTATTCAAGATGATCTTGAACACGAGTAAATAAATAACTCTACTGTTTAATAAATAAACGGAGCGTCTACTCAGATATGAGTGTCCACTAAAAATAACGTTTAAAGTGATAAAAATCTGTCGGATTAATAAAAAAAAATATTCTAAAATTCTCTTTGCTTACGTTTGGATACGAACCTCTGCCGATATTAAAAACTTCGGGAGATTCTATGAGGAGAGAAAACTTCGCTTGAAGACATAAAATTTGGGTCCCCTGTCCCACTCCTCTTCGTGGCTAAGTTAATTAAAGCGTGCCGGGCACAGCGGTAGCCTTCCTTTACCCTGACAGACTCAGGTTCAAATAGTGAGAGTTTAAAAATTTAATAAGATTTCTTGAACATTCAAGCCGACAGAAGACAATAAACTAACACATTGTTTAATAAATAAACAGAGTAAATAATAACAATTTGCCGGATTAATAATAATAATAATAATATATTCGTGCGTGCGTGTGTGTGTGTGTGTGTGTGTGTGTGTGTGTGTGTGTGTGTGTGTGTGTGTGTGTGTGTGTGTGTGTGTGTGCTAAAAACGTCCTCAGCTCAAACACGACAGGATTCCGAAAGAAATTCGGATTTTTGGTGCAAAGTTTAGGTAAATTTTATAAAAGTAGGTCAGTGGGATAACTACAGGCCTCCACCATACGTACATGCAAAAAATATATATATATATATATATATATATATATATGCATGTATCTTTACACCTTTATATATATATATATATATATATATATATATATATATATATGCATGTACCTTTACACCTTCGCCTCCCCTGACCAAGGAAATATACAGAAGAAAATAATGTCATTGTTGTTTTGCTGTTTCGTTATCATTGTGTTTTACGTTTAGCGACTTTTTGTTGCTTGTTGCGGCTGTTGCCCGCGTCAGGTTACAATCCACGACGATCCTCCCGTTACAAATTGCTTTTTCCTAAGAAGACTGACACGTCAATTCCAGGGTACCGAACGACACAAGATGACCGCTGTTTTTTTTTCGTGGTCTAAAACAGATAACACATTCAAATGTGTCCGTATTGTTCCTAAATGAAAAAATACAAAAAAAAAAAAAAAAAAAACCCAACTTCAGACGCCATTGTCCGTGCGTTCACGGGATTTTCGAGCTGTGAGCCGGCTAGCATCTTACCTGGGTGTTATTAAGTGTGATGCTGAGTCATTGTAGGTTATTCTTTTTTGCTTTTTGGGAATAACCCAAAAGAAGGTGCTGATAAGATGAAGTATGGAGGGATAGAATAAAGGTGAAAGAAGACGAACAAAAAAAAACAGATTAAGAAAAAAAGAGGAAGGAAAAATAGAATGAAGAAGAAGAAGAAGAAGAAGAAGAAGAAGAAGAAGAAGAAGACGACGACAAGGGAGAAGGAGATAAAAAGGAACAAGCGTGAACGAAAGCGACATATGGTGAAATTTAAGAAGCAAAGAAGAAAAAAGGAGGAGGAGGAGGAGGAGGAAGAAGAGGAGGAAGGGGAAGGAAAACTCGTAAACGAACGAGCCATGAAGTGAAATAACAAAGAGCAAGGAAAAGAAGAAAAAAGTAAAAAAGGAAGGAAAGGGAGTTTTTGAAGAAGAAGAAGAAGATGAAGAAGATGAAGAAGAAGATGAAGAAAGGAAGGAAGGGGGGTTGCAGAAGAAAAAGCAGAAGGATGGGAAGGTTGAAGAAGAAGGAGAAAAATTAAAAAGAAGAAGAAGAAGAAGAAATTCAAAATGAAGGAAGGGGAGGTTGCAGAAGAAGAAAAAGAAGGATGGGGAGGTTAAAGAAGAAGAAGAAGAAGAAATAATTAAAAAAGAAGGAAGGGGAGGTTGCAGAAGAAGAAAAAGAAGGAAGGGGAGGTTGAAGAAGAAGGAGAAGAATTTAAAAAAGTAGAAGAAGAGGAAGAAAAAACAACAGCGACATCAGCAGTGGAGACGATGAATAAGAACGATGCAGAAAAAAAAACAACGATAGAAAAAGAGAACGATAGAGAAAAAGAACTGCAACAATAAGAACAAAGAAGAAAAAAAAGAAGAACGAATGGAGAAAGAAATAACAACAACATAGAACAATAGAGAAGAAAGAAGATACGAGAAAAAAATAAAGAAGAAAAACCATAATGAAGAAGAAGAAGAGCAAGAAGAAGAAGAAGAAGAAGAAGAGCATGAAGACGAAGAAGAAGAAGAAGAAGAAGAAGAAGAAGAAGAAGAAGAGCAACAACGAAAAGAATAATAATAGAAAAGAACAACAGAGGAGAAAGAAGATAAAGAAAAAGATGAAGATGATAATAATGATGATGAAGATGAAAGAAGAAGAAGGAAGGAAGGAAGGAAGGAAGGAAGGGGAGGTTGAAGAAGAAGGAGAAAAATTTTAAAAAGTAGAAAAGGAAGAAAAGACAACAGCGACATCAGCAGTGGAGAAGATGAAGAAGAACGATGCAGAAAAAAAACAACGATAGAAAAAGAGAAAAAGAACTGCAAGAAGAAAAAGAAGAAGAAAAAGAAGAAGAAAAAGAAGAAGAAGAAGAAATGAACTGAAGAAAAACAACAATAGAAAAGAAAAAGAATAACAACAACAAAACCTACATTATTTTGATGATGACCACATATTGTCTTCATATTTATTGACACAAATACTAAGCACGTTATAGATTGCTTCACCGCTATCCGCGTCAAAGATAGACGCCATGACAGTTTCCTCTATGTTGTCGGCGTAGTAGATGTCTTCGTTACTTTCGATGTCATCGTCGTCGTCCATTGTGTCATCTTGGTCTTCTTCCTCAAAAATAGGAAACATAAGACATTCATTGCCAGAACAGACAGTCCTACTGTCAGTTGAAATCTATAATATCTTTTTTTTAAAACAATTGTTCAGGAAAATAGTTTTCTGAAGTCCACTAACTGTTATCGCTCTTTCCGATATTGATGGGGCTTTCCTTCCTAACCTTTTGCTTGAAGCAGTGTGGAATGTCAACATCTTGATTATATGATAATTTTCTTTTCGTGTTACATGTGATATTCATTTTAGTTGTTGTTATATAAAATTCTCAAGTGATGTAGTTTCTGTTATTTGGTTCAGTTCTTTGTGATTTTGTAGCGCCAGTCAATGATGTTCGAAACATGATAGCCCTACCTAAAAAGCTCGAAGCCATTTTTTAAAAAAGATGGCATCTTCACTGCCTGTCAGGACAGCAAAATAGATTTTTTTAGGCTCTTTGATTATATTCAGTGCGTGGATGTAGTATTCATGCCCACTTGTGTCTTACGCCACTAACAAAATAATAGCCACTGTTAGTTCATATATTTCTATAATCTTATAAATATAAAATTATTCTTGTAAATAAACAAGGTAATAATTAACAGTATTTAACATCTTTGTTGTCATTTCTCAAGAGAAAAAAATGTATAAATCCTGTTTTTATATGTTTGAGTTTTATAAAATTCTTAAAGTAGTTTTTTTGAAACAATCAAAATTGCCAGGGGAGTATAAAGTAATAGCCGTGTCAAGAGAAAATCCGCCTTTTTGACATACCTACTTTTGCGTGTACTTATGTTCAAATTCATAAAAAAAAATAAATTGAAAGTAAAGTGAGAGAAAAAAAGAAAGTATAAATCCAGATTTATACGTTTGGGTTTTATTAAAATACTTAAAATATATTTTTAAAGCAATAGAGGAAAGTTGGTTCACTGTGTTGTGACAGAAAACTTTTGTCAGAATCCATCTTGCACATTTACAAATCTACCATTTTTGGTCTCACACTGTTGACCTGAGATGGAATAGTTACGCTGAATCAATAGCTTCATCTAGCGCAAGGAAAGATAGTTCTCTATGTTGCAACAAAAAGTTTTTCTCGCCCGAATCCATCCTTCAAATTTATAAATGGTATTTATCAATCCACCCACGGGGATCGAATGTGGCACAAGGCCTTTTTAATGTGGGTATCTCTGAGCCCGTAGGCCCAGCCAAAAATAAATAACCATCCAAACCCGCCCATGCATGGAATATTGCTGTCATATATTGTCTGTAGCCCCCGCTGTACGTCTTAGGGTCCTCAACTTATATGCAATATAGTTGGCCCTGATCCGACATCTCATTTACAGTCGCTCTCTCACAGACGTGCCGTCGCCTCCCTCTGTCTTTTCTACAAATACTTTCACGGTAACTGCTCCGACGAGCTATTTTCGCCAGTTCCCAAACTGCATGAATTTAAACGTGCCACTAGGTCGGCATCTCAGTCCCACCCTTTCACTGTCTAAAAGGTTAAATGAAGCCGCCTCTTCTACTCCAATAGCTTCATGTCTCGCACTTCCCGTCTGTGAAACTCCCTTCCTCTTACTTGCTTCCCTGATAGCTATAATCTCCAACTATTCAAATGCAATATCAATCGACATCTCCAGATTCCTTGATATATTCCCCATCCATCTCTTCATCCTCTTTCACGACTCTTTACTCTTGCTCCCACTCTCTGTAGCCCCTTGTATGCTAGTGGCACTCCCGCCTTGCTTGGGGTGAAAAGCTTTTTAAAAAAGTGTCCGTGCATTAAATACTGTTGTCATATCTGGTCAGGTGCCTGACTTGGCATCTCAACTTCAATCACTTTCTCACAGATGTGATGTGGCTTCCCTCTGTCTTTTCGATAAATATTTTCATGCCAACTGCTCAGACGAGCTTCTTTCCCTGGTGCCGCGACTACATGAATTGAAGCATGCTACTAGATTGGCATCTAGGTCCCACCCATTTACTGTTTAAATAGTTAAATGTAACCGCCACTTCTGCTCCAACAGTTTCTTTTTCTCGCACTTTTTGCCTGTGGAATTCCCTTCCGTTTACTTGCTTCACTGATAACTAAAATCTTCAAAAATTTTAATGCAACGTCAATCGTCATCTTCTGTCTTTTTGAAACCCGTTCATCTTTTATCCTTTCCTCAATCCCCACCCCCTATACCTAGTCTTTTCTTTCACTTTCACTCTCGGTAACCCCCTGAGTACTAATAGCACCCCTGCCTTGCTTGGGGGGAAATGATTCAAAATAAATTACCGAGGAAGTATACAGTGACAACGGTGTCAGAAAAGAAATAAACGTCCTTTTGATAAACTGTTTTATTTTTCATTTTGGTGGTGTCTTATGCTAATTTACCCACGCACGCATGGACTCTCCCAGCTATAAATAGGAGCAGGTACTGCCTTTTGAAGAGGGAAATTTCCAGCCGTCAACGCTGGGAGTCGGACCGAACAGTCTTGCTGTAACACTCTCGTTTGTATATGTTTGTATTTCGGTTTCTGTTAATATATTTGTTTAACTCAATTCCTTTCTTGTGTCCTTATTTCTGGCCCTAACAAGGCCACAACAAGATGTTTATTTATTCATTTTGCCTTTTTTTTTAATTTTTGGTGAACAATTGTTAAACTTTTCCGCATGTTTCTACTAATACAATAACATATCCTTTGCTTAATTTAAATTGGTCGAGAAGATTATTCAATGAAATCCCACCTTACATTATAGCCATCGACCTGACACATTTTCCATTTCAATTAATTAATCCAATTACTTTCATTTAATTACAATTAAGATAATGTTTCTCACTTCAATAAAATATATATTACGATTTTTGTTATAATAGGAGTAAATAGGTTCGCCTATCGTCCTGTTCACACTCCTCCCCTGTCTTCTGAACAGAAGTAAAGATCTATCCCTCGTTACCTGTTTAGGATTGGGTTTCCTGTTCCTTCTAAAGTCTACTTCAACTCTATTTTTCTAGCGTCTCTACCTAAACTCTGAAATTTCATTATTTTTTTTCCTCAATAGGAGTAGATGGGTTTGCCTATCGTTCGGTTTACACTTCTCTCCGGTCTTTTGAACAGGAGTAGAGGTTTATCCCTTGCATCATGCTTAGGGGGTAGGTTTCCGGTTCCTTCCAAAGTATTCTCGTTCTCTTTCACTCGCATTAGTTCCTTGCGTCTTAGCGGCATTATCGCCTTCCTTGGGGTGAATTGATTTAAAAAAAAAAAATAAAAAATAAAAGAGAGATTTCAATTTAAAAAAGAAAAAAAAAAAACTCAACAACGCTAATTTAATGATGCCTTGAAAATAATTGCTTTTTTGTATCAGTCCGGAAACTAGGTTGCTTATCCTACGATGATCTATCTTTACAAGAGCCAAATTAAACCAAAAAATGGAGTACTGCTCCCATATCCCAGCCCTCACTTTTCCAACCTTGAGTTTAAAAGCGTTGACGCGACCTTGTGGGTGCTGAATTATTTCCCGCCCTGCAACCCCCTTGCACAGATGAAACGTCGCAAGCCTCTCTTTAATATACCGCGATTTCCATGGCAAATGTTCTGACGCGCTACAGTCGGCAATCCCGGCACCACTTCCCTCAAGTCTGACCTTCACAGCTAAGATCCGTCATGACATATACACTAGTAGGAATCACCTTTTCTTCAAGTCTAGAATTAACCGCTTACCTTTCCTATATATCCTCATAATCTGCACTTCTTACCGTCTCCCCATCCGCTCTAGCGTCACCCACATTCGGTAACCCTCTGCCTTGAGTGACACTCGGGCCTTGTACTAGGTGAAAAAATTAGTAAGAACAAAATGAAAACAGGAGAATGACTATTGGTGTTTCTTGATATGAGTTGCGATCTTTTTTCTTCATAACTTTGCCAAAGCAGTGGGTCAAACAAGTAATTTAATGGAACCCCCTGGAGTGAAATTAAAATGCAAGGATCCGTGAAGCCAGGAGTTAATCTTCAATTCGCGAGGTTAAGTTTCATGACGAGTAAAATTGGCTTGTTTCACGCCCACACGCCCACCACCACAAAACACGTGTACGCTCCTGTAATCTATATACCACTTATATATATATATATATATATATATATATATATATATATACCACTTATATATATATATATATGTGTGTGTGTGTGTGTGTGTGTGTGTGTGTGTGTGTGTGTGTGTGTGTGTGTTGTATGTGGGGGTAAATTATACGTGTATCTGGATGTATATAAATATGCAAAAGTGATACATAAATATGTGTGTGTGTTCAGCACCTGAAAATTGTGTTCTACATGAAATTCCAGTATGTATATACTTAATAATAGCTTTGTTGTACTACATTCAGAACTGTTTTATTAAGACCAGCTATTTATTCACAATTATTTATATATATATATATATATATATATATATATATATATAGTTGGATAGATGTGAGTTTGTGACCTGGGTTTCACGCTTTAGCGATCGTCAGACAACCAGGGTCACAAACTCACATCTATCCAACTAAATATGTTAGCTCTATCTCTGATATTGAGCGCTTTCTAATAAGTACCGCGCATATAATATATAAATAATTATACATATATATATTTATTTATATTTATATTTACATATATATATATATATATATATATATATATATATATATATATATATATATATATATATATATATTAAACTCTCAAAGTATGTGTGTGTGTGTGTGTGATCGGATGTTGTTTAAGCGTTTCCACAGTTTTCATCCGATTTTTTGTTTCATAGATAATTCTTCAGTGCCGGTTTTGAGTCCAAATTGCCTGGAAAAAAATTACAACCTTGAAGGTGAAGAATCGAAAAAGCTACAAAAAACAAAGGCAAAAATTAATGTCAGTAAAAAACAACGTACAAATCAATTTAGAAAGTTGAAATCTAACGCAAAAGATTATTAGAATTATAAAAAAATAATTATATTATAAATAAAAATTATCATCGTATATTATTATTACGAAGGTCCATGAAAGCGGTTTCTTCCTTGCAAGATATAGAATGCAAAAACGGCCCTTTTCAGGGCCACCCCCCATTCAAATTGTTACCCACCCCCCATTTCAGGATGTACATCATTTGCACCCAATTGTTGTTACTAATATTGATTTTCGGGTGGGCTGACTTTAAACTTAAACTGAACACCAAAAATTCCCAGTAATGAAACACCCGGTCGAAGACAGGTTATACTGCTAGTATATATATATATATATATATATATATATATATATATATATATATATATATATACAGAGAAAGGTACCCAAAACATTTTAAACGTCTTTTATGAATAAAATATGATCCCTTTTTTTAAAGATCATTCTATTTTGGTGTGGCAATAATAATCTGTTATATATATATAAAGAAATATTCTTAATAGTAAGAATGTTTTTAAATCGGCAAGAATTTTTCTGTTTGACATTGTGACTCCGGATTGATTTCAGGGATTGCAAATTATGTGTGTGGGTGTCTGTGTACGCATATATATTTATAATCGTGTGTGTATGCATGCGTGCATTTGTATATTTGCATATATCTACACATATATGCTTATATCTGTGTGTCTCTCTCTATCCCTCTCTTTCCCCCTCTCTCTCTTTCTCCATATATATATATATATATATATATACATACATATATATATATATATATATATATATATATGTATATATATATATATATATATATATATATATATTTATATATATATATATATATATATATATGTATATATATATATATATATATATACATACATACATATATTGAACTAATAATCTTGCATTTTATTACTTTAGTGTATATCTCTATCCCCTCTCTCTCTTTCTCCATATATATATATATATATATATATATATATATATATATATATATATATATATATATATATATATATATATATATATATATATATATATACATATATATATATATATATATATATATATATATATATATATATATATATATATATATATATATATATATATTTTTTGAACAAACAAACCTGCATTTTATTACTTTAGTAACCTTTTCAGCCAACACCTCATCAAATGAATCGTTAGCAACCTAAATAAAATATCAACGAAATTCACAGTGATAGTCTTGGAGGAAACGAGGAACTGCGAATAAAATATGACTGATTATTAAAATGAGGGAGAAGAAAGAATGGAGGAGATGAGAAAAATGCCAAAAAAAAAATAAGAGAATAAAGAGGTCCAGTGAAGAAAAAAAAAAAATATATATATATATATATCCAAATGTAATGAGAACGAAAATAATATATATAAATGGCTGCGTTCACAGCATTAATTCAAAAGAGGGCTCGATAGTAGAGCAATAATTATTTATTATGATTGTACTTCTTCAAACAGTCGTTAGTAACTTACCCTCGCCTGAAGAAGTAGAAGTACAATCAAAGTATTGAAACATGAAAGTTTTTGTGGAGCGACTTCAAAATGTTTTTATTTCTCTTATAATAAATATATAATAATAACATATTGCTCTATTTTGTATTGAGCACACGTTTTTAAAAGTAAATGCTACGAACAGTGGATTTGTACTCCATCTGTACTTCCTCACTTCCATATATATATATATATATATATATATATATATATATGCTCCTGAAAAATTATTTCGGTTGTGCTCTCGGGTAATAAAGTGTGAGTCTGTAAAGAGTTAGTACTACTTATACTAATGAATTACCTTTCTATAAAACGAATCGAGTTCTCTCAGTCAATGTTTATCTAAAAATAAATACGTTTAAATTCACCTGCATTTCTGCCGTGCACCAATGGCTTAGGGGTAGAATGTCCGACTGGCACCGATTTAATAGGGTTTCGATCCTAGCTAGAGACAGCGGGAGTCCAGCCGTCTCTCTCTCTCTCTCTCTCTCTATATATATATATATATATGTTTGTGTGTGTGTAATATTTATTATAACATATGTATGTTATAACATCACTACAAAACTAGCCATTTTGTTACAACATTTCGGTGTCTTGTCAATGATGGTGTTGCCAAAAAACAAGAAAAAATCTTTTTTTGTATTTCCTTGCAACACCATTACTTGACATGACACACTAAGTGTTGAAAGAAAATGGCTATTTTTGTAGTGATGTTATAACATATATATGTTAATTTTTTAAATATATATATATATATATATATATATATATTATCGTTTCATTAAATAATATAGACAAGTGTTGTCTATTTATTTTTATGTAAACTTTTTTTCC